AAACAGCCCGACGGGGGACTCGAACCCCCAACCTTGAGATTAAAAGTCTCACGCTCTACCATTGAGCTAGCCGGGCTCGGAAAGCCTACAAAATTGTACTATATAATTCAGCCCTATGTCTTAAAGTTGGAGGAATTGGCAGTCTGTCATTGAACCGCAATTTCCGATAATTATGGCTTTCAAACAAGAACCGTATTCAATCAGGCACAGATTATGATTGTGCTTTTTGGTGTTGCATGGTTTTTAAACCACAACAAGAAAAATTAAACAAAAAACCATGAAACTAGTTTACACCTGCGATTACTGCAAGAAGAGGGTAAGTGATCAGCTCACGATTAGAAAAGGAAATGTGATCGACAAAGGCCTTGTGCCCTATGCAGAGAAAAGAAAATAGTGTGCAAATACACCCAGCAAGAAAATATTATACAGGATTATAATAGGATGGAGGACAGGATAAGAGATTTGGAAATGATATTAATAATGCCATTTAAATATCCGTGGGAAAACAAGGGCCGATTCAAACAGCCTGCTCAAAAATACCAGCTTCCAATTCACTTGGAGCACTACTTATTCGATTTGAATCACGACTACCTGATCAAACTACGCTTTGAAAAAATACCTGCCATATTCTCTTACATGACTGAAGAATACTTTATTGAATCCGCAAGGCAGTTTTGGCCACTTAGGTTTACATTGTACTCTACTGGAACACTGTACCTGGCGGATAATCAGATTCCAAAAGGATTGAATGATAGGGTAGAAATAGCCAATGCATACCTGGAAAAAGCAGCAACATTCAATTTCTTTGAAAATAACAATGCCGTAACTGTGCTTACCTTGGCACAGCTAGCCTTCTCGTTTCTTCGTAACCAGTATTTGATGTAGGAGTAGATAGAAAGGAAGCGTATTTGTATGCGAACATGGGGCTGGTGTTTGCAAAGTACTTGGGAATCAATACCGAGGAAGGGATTGCAAAACTGACACCATTTGATTATGAAAGGGAGAATATTAGGGGCACATGGTGGCTATTGTACAATCTATACAGTATTAACCCAAAGAAATTTGGCGACGGAGCCGTTATTACAGACGCAGACAACCAGATATTCCTGCCTTCAAACATATATTTTGAATCAAACAGCGATATCGATTACTATGGAATTGAAGTCATGTCAAATGCAGAGTGGTATGTGCCATCACTTCCAAATATGAGCTTCCAGGCTTATCGAATAGTCTTGCACAAAATCACGCATAAAATTTTGAATTATGTACACTTGGAGTTGCTTAATGAAACTGAAAATATAAGATATATAGCAGGGACACTGGATGCTTCTTTAAAGGAATGGCATTGTGAAGCTATCCATCTTGTAAACTACCACGCGGCGCAAGTCAGGTTTGGAAACGTTAAAGATCCGCAAACTACATGGCTAGTGTTATCCTTATTCATCATGTACAACAACGCCAGAGTAGAATTAATAATACCAAATTTCATGAAGAATATTATTAGATGCAAAAAGATTGAAAATTCGCTTTATTTCAAAGCAGCACTATCGGCAGCGATTAACAATGTATTTGTATTGCAATTGATCAAGAGCTACAACCAGAAATTTGAACATTTGCACGCGTACATTATCTACCTCTTGTTTGTATGTGCATTTTTGCTACAGTGCTGTATAAAGCTCCCCTTTATCTGTAACAGTGAAATCATCGCGGCATACGAAATGCATGTTGAATTGCTAGCACTCCACGGCAAGGTGTTTCAACGGACCGCGCTGTACTATCAGCTAATATTACAATTGAACGAGTTGGATATTCATCAAGCAGTCTTGGCTTATGGAGAGTTTAGGGCGAACGGGTTTTCACCATTAAGTAAGCCAACAACGTCGCATGTCGAATTGTTTGACAACCTATCAATAAAATAAAAGTAACGACACTTGGAGGTATCTCACGCTTGCAAAAAACTACCCTACTAACTGCACCAAAAACCAAAAATAAGAAACCAAAAACAAAAAATAAGAAACCAAAAACAAAAAATAAGAAACAAAAAACAGCCCGACGGGGGACTCGAACCCCCAACCTTGAGATTAAAAGTCTCACGCTCTACCATTGAGCTAGCCGGGCTTTGTTGCGATTTTCTGATTGTCCCCATTGAAATTGTTCTTGTATTATTGAATGGATTTATGATTAATAAAACTACTTGATTGGAGTCTTTCATTACCATATTGTACAATCAAAGAAATGGTAGTGTCTTGCTAAGAACGAAATATCGTACCATATCTTACAGAACGATACCAAGTAACGGGTTTGAATAAAGAGTATTTCTGATATGAAGAGATATTGACACTGGCCTCGGTCAGAAAGAATATTATTTGAAGCATTTCCTATAAATACTTTCTATAGAGCACTTGCGAAATACTCAGGTAATGGAGCTGCAAAAATTATACCAAACAGTTTACAAGAAACAATTTCAATGGGGACAATCAGAAAATCGCAACAAAGCCCGGCTAGCTCAATGGTAGAGCGTGAGACTTTTAATCTCAAGGTTGGGGGTTCGAGTCCCCCGTCGGGCTGTTTCTTTTTTTTTCATCTTTATATGACGAATGGTTTGGTGGAGATTGTGGTGAACAATCTTGCATTTTTACAATATAAAACAGTCATTAGCGTTCAGGACACTATTATTACTACGGCGGAATATAAAATCAAAGTGCTGCCCTACAACACAACAATCAAATTTGAAGAAATAAAGAAACTACGGGTGGATATGCTTGCGATAGTATCGCTAGATAGCTCCGTTGTGTATTACAAAGTTGGAACTGATTTAAATGATTTCTCAACCAATCCCAAACTCCAATAAACACTTATCAGCAAACTCCAATAAACACTTATCAGCAAACTCCAAGTTGTGACCCTGGATTGATTTTAGTAATAAAGCAGGCATTCGTTTTTAATATGTTTTGGTTCACTTCTCTTTATGGAAATCCCTGCCTTTTTCAGCTTGTTCAGAAATTTTCACAAAAAATGTCCTTGGATAACCTAGTGGAAGAGTTGCATATAATTGCAAAGTATTTAAACATTCTGGATTACCATGAGCTGCGCTTTTCATTCCGCAACTCTATCAATTCGTTCGCAACTCTGCACTGGCCAGCCTACAAGGAAACTTGCTTCCTCTTTAAGCATGCCTATCCATTCTACGACCTATCAATACATATGCAGCTATCTCATGCGGATTACTGCAAGCCAACATTAAGGGCGGTAATTAAAGCAAAGCACCACGAACAGCTCAAACGAATGATAGACAACCCAAAGTTCAACAGCAAAACGCTTGTTGATGGGCTATGTACAATGATTATGAACAAAACTTACCATGAATACGACCCGAAAATGGTTTTACTACTAGCCCAAAAAACCAACCCTGTTGACGAATTTCCAAACTATGCTAACGTTCTTCAGAACTTATTGCAAATGGCCTGCGCTCTTAATTGCCCCGAAGCGGTAAGGTATGTCCTGAACCATCCCAGTTTTGTTTACGATTTTCACTATGCTCAGGCCCTCAGTGATGGTGGCAGGTATGATGGTGTAGATGCCATTGCTGTAATGCTGGAAGAACCTAGAATCAATATTAGATATCAGCAGAGTATATTGATGCGGCAAATTGGGACTTTTAATGCTTATAGAACACTAAAGTACATGCTTGAAACTCGAAGGTTAAAGACTGATGTTATGCAAGAGAACCAAGAAGGATTCACAAAGGCTGCGCAGTTTGGGCACCTGGAACTAGTCAAGCTATATACCAGACATCCACGCACAAAAGTTGGGCATTCTGATGATATTGCATTCAGACTTGCTTGTGAAGAGGGCCATCTGGAAGTTGCGCAGTATCTTTACGACTCTGGCAGAGTGAAGCCAAACTCTTGGAAATGCTCTGCAGCGCAAGGCGCGATGGCTAATGGTCACATTGTAGTTGTTGAATGGCTTCAAAAGCTACCCAGAGTTCAAATATGGGCAGAGAACTGCAAAGGATTCAAACGTGCGTTAGACAACAATCAATTAGATATGGTAGAGTGGAGCTTACGACAACCAGAGTTTGATCCAAACTTTGAAGATGGAATCTTTTTAAAGATGACGGCCAAAAAGAAATTCCAAAGGCTATTCCATGCCATTGCGCGCCATCCCAAAACTGATCAGGATTTGGTTGATTTCCATTGGTATGGAAGCCAAGATTTCTTGTACTAGACTTTAATATAATGAATTAGATTTGTTCTATGCTCCATCACAGTTTGCACGTAATAAAAAGTGCGAAAACCAGTTCATTATAAAAGATATTTATTAGAAGGAAGATGGTTTACCATCCCAGGTTTGTCCATAACAGTAGAAATCATAAGGACCAGACGGACTGAACAAGCCTTGTTGAGCAGCAGTAGAATCGGTAAGTACATACGTTTGGAGTAATGTGCCAATAGCAGAAACCAATGGAGCAGCAGTATCCATGGCAATTTGAATAGAGAATACATACTTGTCCCAAAAGTCTCTTTGGTATTTGAACAAGTACCATTGGACAAAGACTTGAACAATGATAATATTGATGAAGCCAGCATTGACAGCTCCAGTACCTGGTGCCATGGAAGCGACAACGATATACATATTGACATAGTTCCAGAATCCTGATGGGTAGATCTTCTTCATCAACCATGGGATGAATGGAGCCAAGAACCCAATTACATAACCAAGGTTAAGAACAAAGTATGGCGAGGTTGGGCCAAATGATCTGACTGGCCCTAAAGCACCCCAAATACCACCGGCAGAAGCAAAGACTTCGTAACTTTGGGCACCCCATGGAGTATCAGGATCAGTCAAATTGACAATATTAGCAATGGTGTAGAAAGAACCGGCAGTGTTGATGATAGATCCATAGAGAGTACCAATGAACTGCGCAGCAACCATAGCAATAGGAGAAATGTGCATGTAGTGACCCAGTTTCAAATCAGACATCAAAGTAACGGCTTGGAACATAATGTTGGTACCAAGAGACTTGAAGCACATGACAGTTACAGTGTGTCCAGGGAAGATTAAACCAGCAAT